TGAAAAATGTGGGGGCGGGGGGCGCCTGCAGCAGCAGCTCCAGTGTGGGGGGCGACACGTCGAGGACCAGAGGAGAGAAGAGGCGCGGCGCGGCGTCGGTGGCGGCGGCGGCCGGGGCGGCGGCGGCGCGGTGCGTCCGCCGGCTGGGCAGCTTCTCGGCGAGTGCCATCGCGGCCTCGGAGGCGACCTCGCTCGCCATCTCGCTCGGAGGAGGCTGCGAAGAGAGCGACTCGAACGAGTGCACCCACGGCCCGACGCCGCTATTCACAGCAAGAGGTGTGAAGACTGTTCACAGCTGGCCTGCACCCACGGCCCAAACGCCGCGCAGCGTGGCGACGGCGGCGTCGCCGAGGATGGCGAGCGTGGCGGCGGCGGCGACGTCCACCTCGACGACGCCGGAGGCGAGCATCGCGGCCCTCCGGGGCGGGGTCGCGCGGCACGGACGGGTGCCCAGCTCCGGGTGGCAGCGGAAGCGCGCGAGGGTGGGCGAGGCGGAGGCGGCGACGCAGCCGGCGCCGAGCAGCGTGTTGCACGTGGCGTCGATCTCGTCGACCAGGTCGAGCGCGTCGCAGGTCGGGCGAGGCGCCTCGACGCCGCGAGACGTGTCCAGGTCTCGAGCGCCCACCGCCTCGCCCTGCGCCGCCGCCCGCTGCAAGCTCGCCCCCGCACCCGCACCCGCTGCAAGCTCGCCCCACCCCGCGACGAGCAGACACGCCTGCACAGCCCGCAGCGCGTCCGAGAGGGAGCCGCGCAGCAGCGCGAGCCGCAGCAGCGCCCGCAGCGCGTCCAGCAGCTCGCGAGCGCCGCCAGAGGAGCCGTTCGCCGCTGCCGGTCGAGGAGCATCGCAAGCCCAAGGAGGGTCGGCGCCGGACGCATCGCGAGGGTCGCGAGGGAAGCGAGCCGACGACTGCCCCTGAGCCCAAGAGAGCAGCGCAGAGCCCGACGGCAGAGCGAGCCGCGGCGGCGGGCGCGGCGGCGGCGCCGATGGCGCGGGCGGCGGCGACGGCGTCGGTACCGGCGGCGGAGCAGCAGTCACCGGTGGCGGCGGCTGAGGCTGCGCCGTCTGCTGGGCCCGCAGTGCCTGCTGAGGCGGTGGCTGGGGCGGCTGTGGCTGGGGCGGCTGCGGCTGGGGCGGCTGTTGCGCGGCGGCGGCGTGCTCGGTGGCGAGGAGCAGCAGCTTGGCTTGGAGGAGTGCGAGGGGTCCGTCGGGCTCGTGCGCCTCTGGGGCTGCGAGCAGCTGGAGCGGGCTGAGGGATGCGAGGACCGAACCGCAGCGCGCGAGGTGCGAGCGCGTCTTGAGGAGCCACTGGGTCGTGTACAGCTCCGTGAGGGCGGGGCCGCAGTGGCGCGAGACCACCTTTGGGCGGGGAGCCGGGGGTCCGGGGCGAGAGAGGAGAATGGGGTGGGGCGGGGGAGAGGGAGGGAGGGAGGGAGGGAGGGAGGGGGGACGGAGGGACGGAGGGAGGGAGGGGAGAGGGAGAGGGGAGGAGAGAGAGAGAATGTGTGTGGGGGGGGGGGGGGGGGGCGAGGGCCGCAGCGGCACGAGAGCACCTCGAGAGCGCGCAAGGCCTGCTTGTGCGCCGAGCTGCCAAGCCGCCGCGCCGCCACCGCCTCGCCTCGCTGCGAGTCGTACAGAGGCGCCCACTCGCACTGTACCTCCTCGCCCGCCCGCCCGCTGGCAGCCTCCCGCCCTTCCCGCCGCGCCTCCAGCCTGCGGAGCGGGTCGGAGGGACGGCGCGGGCGTGGGACGCAGCGCGCCAAGGCACTCGTTAGTGAGCCGGCGGCCTCTGCCGGATCGGAACTGCGCTCTTTCCCGCGTCTACTTCTCACCGCTCGCGCCGCGCAGCGTGCAGCGCCTGCAGCAGACGGCACCGCCGGTGCAGGAGGAGCTCGTAGCCGCGCCGCCGCTCCGCGTGGCTGCGCGACCTTCCCTCGAGCAGCGCCTCCCTCGCGACCGCCAGCTGCAGGTGCGCCCGCCGGCCGAGCCGCTCGCTGCTCGGAGGCAGAGCACCGGAGCGGAGAGCCTGCAGCTCGAGCGGAGGCGCTGGCAACGCCTCCGCGCCGGCGGCAGCCGCGCTGGGCGACGGGTCCTCCTCGCAGGGCGCACGGCCACCGTCTTTGCCCTCTCCGCCGCCAGCCCGCCCGACGCCCCACTCGCTGTCAAAGAGCGGGAGCCAGGCGGAAGCCTCGGGAGGGCTGTCGTCAGCAGCGTGAGCGCCGCTCTCGCGCGGATCGGACCAGCTCGTCGTGCGGTGGTTGTGGTCAATGTAGAAGACACGACCGTTGACAGAGCGCTGCTCCCAGCCCAGAGGCAGGAGTGGATCCGGCCCGAGGGCGGTCGACGCATGGAGCTGGCGCCAGCGCTGGGCGCAAGGCGTGGCTGTCAGCAGAAGAGCCGACGCATCCGCAGGGGTCAGCGGAGTGTCCGTGTCGGCGTCACCTGCGTGCATCCTGCGCTTGCGAAAGCCGAGCAAAGCCCTCCATCCCTGGCGAGATGAAAAAGAATTTTACCATCAAATTCTGCGATGGCGGCGTGCCGTCCTCCCATCCCTCCCTTGGTTTGTCCGTTTTCTTTCTTCCTCCCACCCTTGTTTGGTGTGTCCGTTTTATTTATTTATTTACACTGGGCACGGGACTGGCAACCCTGTCTGCACGTCTCGCGCGCGCGTGAACAGGGCTCCAGGCCCCAAATGACGTGTGAGTGTTAGAGTTGTTTGGTATTGCTAAAAATCTCTCTCTCGGGACTGGCTCGCACTGTGAAAAAGAATCAACGGGGTAGTTTCAAACCCCACGCACGACACTGGCAGAACGAGGCAGAGGAGAGCGACGCGACAGAGGAGGAAGTGACAAGGGAGAGAACGACGAGAGTGGGACGACCGCGAGGTGGCATGAAGGTTGCAGCGAGAATCGGCGAGAGACTGCGAAGAGAGATAGGTAGGAAGAGGCGGACGGACGCCCAAGGGTGGGCGACACACACACACACACACGCACACGTCCCAACTCCCCAGAAATCCCGAGGAGCCGTGCAGTGCCTAGATAATGTGTGTGCTGTGTGGTGCACGCCCTCCGAGCGGGGCGGGGTCTGCCCGTCGGGTTGCTGCCCTAATCCCACCAGGGGTTGTCCTAGGGGTTGTCTGCTCTATTTATTTATTAGGGTGGGCGACGGCTAGCGCACCACACCCCTCTCCTTAAAATCCCTGTGTGGTGGCGGCGTGCCGTCCTCCCATCCCTCCCTTGGGCTGTCCGTTTTCTTTCTTTCTTTTTGCACGACACTCACTGGGCACGGGACTGGCGCGCACTGGCACTAACACAGGTACACCAAGATGAAAAAAAAAATTAAATATTCTTAGCTTCGCCCTTGCCTCCGGCGCTAGAGACAGTCACCACGGATACATACGTCCGTGGGAGTGCCCCCCTCCCCCACCTGCCCTGCTTACACAGGATAGCATGCCCCGAGAACGGCGGCATTTGGCGGGGGTAACCTGGGAAGGAGGTTTGGTTGTGCTTTCTTTTTTTGCTCTCGAGGGAATGTTCTCTCGACGCCACTGGCCTTCTGAGGTTTCGTACTGGTGACGTCCTTCTTGGCACTTCGGGCGTCGGTGTGTGTGGTGAATTCCCTCGGTTTTTAATGTGTTATTTTATTTTTTATTATTTTTTGGCTATATCATCGGACGTTGAGTGGGCACCATCTCCAGTCCATCATCTACGATGCCAACCCGAGCCGTCCGCCGCTCGAGGATCGAGTGGCCTCTGGATCGAATCGGCACCTTGACCCTTATAATTTTTTTTTCACATCTTGAGCGGGCCCAATTTTGCTCAGATGCACCTCCGAATTCGAACTCACGTCATCACGCTTAGCGCTTGGTGTGTGTCCGTTTTTCGTCACGGGTACACCAAGATGAAAAAGAATTTATGAACGCCTCCTACGAGAGAAAGAGTGCGAGGCCGCCGTGGAGCCGCGCCAGCCGGACTTGGGGAGCGGCTTGCTTGCCGCCCGGCGCGGGGGAATAGTCAGCTCTACATCAACTCTACTGTTCTGTACTTCCGGAGAGAGTTTGTGTACTTCCGTGGCACTCTCGGCCCCCCACCCCGCCGGCCCCACTAGCACTGCTTGATCATCGAGCTCATGCAGAGAGTGCGCGCCCCTGCGCGCGCGGAGCCCTCCGTCCTCCGCACGCACAGCTCTAGCCTATTAAGTCGTGGCGCCTGCGCGCAGTCGGACCCACGCCCGCCGCACTGCACGGCGTGTGCACCCGGCTCCTGCACGCCGTGTGCACGAGCCGAGGCGCGAGCGACCCCCCCCCCCCCACCCCCTTGATAACAGGGGGGGCGGCACCAAGGTCCAAGGAGGGCGGGGAGACCGACCTCTCTCCACAGCAGTCAGCCCGGAGGGAGTAATGTTGCTACTCCTCGAGTTTCCCACTAGGTTTCGCACTTGTTCTATGTCGTATTTAATGTGCCACACTTTCCTTTGTGAGACACGTTGAAAAAGTAATCGTTATCCATGCACGAGATTGTAAAAAGGGAACCAAACACGCATACATCAGCGAAGACCGCCGGAACCCCGGGACTCACGGCAGGACTGAGACGTGTGCGCGGTGAAGATATTGACACTTCGACAGGTGGAGCCGACACACGAGGGAGCGGACTCAATAGGAGGGGACGGTATTCGGGGCAGCGGGGCCCGCCTCTTTGCTCTCAGTTCACTCGCCGTCGCGGTCCGATTCGTCCGACCACTCGTCGTCGTCCCGAGCGGCGACGGACAGACGGCGGTTCTGGAAGTCGTCGCCGGCCTTCTCTTGCGAGGCCGCCGTGGAGCCGCGCCCGCCGGACTTGGGGGGCGGCTTGCCACCCGGCGCGGGGGAGGAGTCGCCAGCGCCCATCTCGGAGATGCCTGTGACGGAGGAGGCGGGCTCGGCGGGGGAGGGTTCGGCGGCGGCGGCGACGGCGGCAGCGGGCTGGGCGTGGGCGGGGACGGAGGCGGTGGGGACGGCGGCCTTGCTCTCCCATGTTGATGTAGAGGGCATCGCCCTCGAAGGAGCCACCCGAGAGGCCGAGCTCGAGCGTCGGCGCCTCGCCGCTCGAGACGAAGGGCAGCCGCGCGACGATCGCGGTGATGTCGTCCCGGTAGTTTCCCTCCTCGCGCTTCCAGCGCAGCGCCGCCTCTTGCACGAGCTTGGCGCAGCCGCGGCTCATCGAGCCGGGCTCGGAGGCGACGATCTCGCACGCCTAAGCGGGGCTGCGAGGTATAGCCGAGGTACACGAGGTGCGGCCGAGGTGCGGCCGAGGTGCGGCCGAGGTAAAGCCGAGGTGCGGCCGAGGTGCGGCCTCGCACGCCTCTTGCGATTCGATGAACTCCCACACGCCGTCGCTCGCCACGATTACGAAGCGATCGCCGTCCCCCTCCGGCTTGGCGTCCGGTGCGGCCGCCAGCTCGAAGCGCTGCACCTCGGGGTTGGGGATCACACCGTACTTCTTGCACTCGCCGTCTCCGACGGAGCGGCTCATGGCCAGCCCGATCTTGCCCGCCGCCCACACGCGCGCCGGCCGCCCGTACTCGCCGCGACTCACCTCGCCGCCCGCGTTGAGGATTCGCTCCAGCTCGCCCTCGCCGTCGGGCTTGTGATCGTTTGTCAGGTCCCGGGCGCGGATCTTGCCGCCCTTGCTCGAGCCCAGGACGGCGCGCGAGTCGCCGCTGCAGGCCGCCCAGAGCGTCGATCCATTGATGTAGACGATGGTGCTCGTCGTGCCGCACGAGCGCGCAAACTGCCCGCCGTTCTTCTTGAGGACCGCCTTGTCGACCGAGCAGACCGCCTTTGTGAGCACCTCCTCTGGGTGCGATCGGAGCTCGTCGCCGTGCTCCTGGAGCGCGGCGGGGATGGCCTTCATACAAAACTCGCTCACCTTCTCGCCGTTGCACCCGTGCCCGTCGAAGACGCAGAAGAGGGCCTCGTTGTGCGACGAGTTGAACGGCCAGTAAGCCACGCCCCGGTCTTGGTTGATCTTGGCGTAAGAGGAGCCGCTCGGCCCCGGGCTGACGCCGTGGCGCGTGGCATTTCCAAGGCTGGCGTCGAGAGGACCCTTGGCGGAGGCGGGCTCACACGAGCCGCGTGGCGACGTGATCTCAGCCGGAGCGTAGGCAATCGAATGGCGGCCGTTGGCTCGTGGCTTGGATGCCGCCCCGTCGGACGCTCGGCTGCCTCGGCTGCCCGTGTCGAGCGGCGCTGTGCGCTGCGGCACGTTGCTGGTGTGCACCTCCTCGTCGCTGGGTGAGGAGCACGCGGCTCCCATGGTGGTGGTGGACGCTGAGAGGCAGGGACCGCGCCTCGTCGAGTGGGCGTCTTGAAGGCGCCTCGCGCTCACGAATAGCCTTGTCACGCTGGTTTATTTTCTTGTTTCATAAGGCGCCCGCAATCTCTTCCTTGTTTACTGTTTTTTTTTACTGTAGTTTCCACCTGACACACTGACATGTCCCCGGGGGAGGGAGCCCATCGCACCAGGCAGGTGGAAGCTACAGCGAGCGGGCTTTATTTTCTCACTCAGCATCTCACCGCAACTATGGATCGACTATGCTTTTTTCTGAACCAAGTTCGTCGGTGAAACGGGGATCTAGAAACAAGCCCCTCTCCAGGACGGCCAAGCGGCTCTGAAACAATCGCCCTTCCCCGCGCTCCGCGCCCTCAATACAGCCAGGGCGGGCGACTATGCCCTCACCCTCACGCGTCCTCCACGGGCCCGTCGCCGATGGTGAGCCCCGTCTCTCGCTCGTAGTCGGCGTGGCTCGCGCTCGGCACCGTCCACTCGCCCTGCACCAGCCACGCGCACCGCTGCACCCGCTGCTGGATCGGCTTCATGTTGTCGGCCGGGAAGTGCGAGAAGCGCCCTTTGCGACCGACCGGGCAGCGGTACAGCCACGCGAGGCGGAAAAGGAGGCGTAGGGCGGTACGACCCGGCCACAAACGTGACAAGGAATTGCTACCTCCTACCTGTTTTTTGCTGAGACCAACTTCGTCGGAAAGGGATCTGAGCAGGCACACATCGCTTCCAGGGAGGGGGGCGCACTTCTCTCCACGCCCCACCCCCCCCCTAGCATGTGGTGAAGCCTCTGAGGGGGTCGGGACCCCCCCCCTAGCATGTGGTGAAGCCTCTGGGGGGGGTCGGACCCCCCCCCTAGCATGTGGTGGGCACCCCCCAGCTGTTCGTGGGCTAGGAATAGGCGCCAAAGAGCCGATTTTGCCCCCAAAGTTGTGAAGTCGTGGGCTGAAAGTCCAATATCTTGGAGAATCTGGCCAGTCTCAAGGCTCATGTAGCTCCACAGGATGATTTTCTTCGAAAAAGGCTGCGAAATGAGGTGCAAAATCAAGGGCCCGGAGGGTCTGACCACGAGTCTCTGGGGGGGTCCTCGGCCACGACCCCCCCCCCTAGCATGTGGTGAAGGTGCTGGGGGGGTCGGGACCCCCCCCCTAGCATGTGGTGAAGGTGCTGGGGGGAGTCGGACCCCCCCCCTAGCATGTGGTGTGGAGAGAAGTGCGCCCCCCTCCCTGGAAGCGATGTGCGCCTGCTCTCTGTAAAAGAAACAAGAAGGACGCCAAGCTGCTAAGCTCTGTGCTCTGACTGAAACAAGAAATAGCCGCGCGTGACAAGGATGAGGACGCGTGGTTTATTTTTCGCAAACGATTAGTCGCCAAGGATGGTAGAGCGTTTCTTCTTCTACAAATTCTTCTTTCGAATATATAGCAGTTGTCGCATAGCTGGCCAAGTTTCGTTGAATCGTTCAAAGACCCCCCCCCCTCCCCCACCCCCCCCAAATCGGCCGACGCCGCACACGCAACCTTGTTTCCGCCTCGCCGCGCGGCATGTGCAAGCGAGCGCGGCCTCGCGTCGGGCGCAAAGCCCGTCGCCGCCAGCACCATCGACTAGAGCGCGGGGGCCCGCACCTAGGTACACACCCTAGCCGCGCCGCGCTCCCCCAGACAATCGTTGCCCCTGTTGCGACAGCTTCTTTTCGTAGTGCCCCCTGCTCAAGCTCTCGGTGTAGACCGCCTAGTCGTAGCGAGGGTTGAGTCAGACGCTGCCACTAGCGAGTCTTCTGCATGGATTCTCTGGTCTGCCGCGGGAAGGAAGCCCGGCACCGACGCCGCGCGCGCGAACAGCGAGTGGCACTTCGAGCCAGGGAACCCGTAGTGGCACTCCCACACGAACACGTCGATGAGGCCGGTGAGATTGGCCTGAGATGGGGTGTGGTGAGGATGATCGCGGAGGCCCTTACCTCTCGCACACGACTCCATTCTGGCAGGCCGGTGCAGGGTGGCCAGGCCAAATTATTTTCCTGAGACATGAGGCATAAGTCCCGTGAGCTACTCATCAGTGCAGGCGCGCCTCCAGCATGGAAGGGACCAGTTTGTGCTCAAAGCCCTCGACGTCCATCTTGAGCACAAAGAAGTCCTAACCCCATGCAACTAACATATAAGCCTGTGAGCGTTCTCCTCACACTCCATGTCCGCAGTTGAGCATGGAAGGGCTCCTCCGGCCGCACGTTGTGCTCAATCCACCGTACAATGTCGACCGAGCGGACGTTCCAGCGCGACCGGTGCGCCTCGCCGCCAATGGACTCGTTGTGCATGTACAGGCCAGCTGGGGCACGGCCAGCAAAAAGTGGCTTTGAGCCTCCGACCATCAGCTGTTCGATGCCACCACCCATTCTGGCCGTCCCGTTTTCATCGCTGGCGGCGGCGTTTATCACTGTAATGGAGTGCCGCTCCGGGCACTGCCCCGCCTAGTAGTGTGGAATATATGCTGGGGAGAACAGTGAGAGATTCATCAGTGCTCCTAATCTCCAGTGTGTTCGACATCTAACGAGCCTTGCCGCCGCAAGCCGGGCGTCCACCGTTTCGCGGCTGCCAAGCACAGGATCTGCCGAGAGTGAGGTCATATTTCTCACCATCTCAGGCAGCGCAAAGACGCACTCCTTGATGTGGCGCCACCTTGGGGAGGGGGCGAGGCGGGGCGGGGGCGGAAGGTGCGTGCCAAGTCTCTCGGGGCCGGCGGGGAAGAGGGGGGCGCAAGAGGGGCGCGAGAGGGGCGCGAGAAGGGCGAGGAGTGGACGAGCGAATACGGCCGGGGTGTGTCGGCCGGGGAGCCTCCGGCGGGCCTGCGGCGCGGGGCGCGCACGCCCTCCTTGCTGCAGACTCGCAACTTATCGTGGGAGCGCACATACTCGAGGAAGTCCGCCGTGGAACCTGTGAGGTGAAGGCGAAGGGCTCGAGTGCAACCACGCATCCGTGACTGCTCGAGTGACTGCCGCATGGCGAGTACGCGGCATGAAATCACTCTGTGGCCGCTGCGGGTCTAGTGACGATTCTGCGATGATCTAGTGCCAACGAGCCGGTGGGCGGCACTGGCGCCGGAGGGATCGGGCGGCCGGCAGCAAGTTCTACCGCGCAGCTCTCGAGATACGGCGCGATGAGCGGCGCTGCCTCGAAGGCGAACACCATCCACGGTCCGCTCCGCGCCGCAGCTTCCTCGAGTTGCGTATGCAGTTGGAGCGTGTTGCACCAAGAGGCACCAAGGTCGACGTACATATTTCGCGGGCCACAGCCCGCGAGAGTGTGGGGATAGGCAGAGACGAGCGGTGCAAGCAGCAAATACATCGTGACCTCTTTCCCGATCGGTTGCTGGTTCACGTTTTTTTTTCATGTTCGTGACGCTGTTCACGCTTCACAGGTTAGTATAACCGGAGAATCTTCAGCCAGCCTGGCGACTCCGAGTCGGGCGACTGCGACACCGACAGCGCTCGCGACGACTTCACGAGCGAGCAGGCCGGAGTCCCCCAGTGCCGCTTCTTTCTTCGCTGCCGGCTATTGCAGGCAGGGGGGAGACGGCGAGGGAGGAGGTGGCGAGGGAGGGGGAGGTGCGGGGGGGGATGGCGAGGGAGGAGGCGGCGAGGGAGGGGGTGGCGAGGGAGGGGGAGGAGGGGGTGGCGAGGGAGGGGGTAGGAAGGGAGGTGGCAAGGGGGTTGGCGGCGAGGGAGGTGGCGGCGAGGGAGGTGGAGGCAAGGGAGGCTGCAAGGGAGGCAGCGGCGGCGGAAGGGGCGAGAACGGAGGGGGAGGGGGAGGTGGTTAAGGAGGGGGCAAAGATGGAAGAGGCAGCGGCGAGGGAGGAGGAGGCGGCGAGGGAGGAGGAGGCGGCAAGGGAGGAGGCGGCGGAGGTGGCTGTGAGAGGCGCTTTTATTCGTAGAATTCCTCTGAAAAATCTCGCCGGGTTGCTCTGCTCGTCGCTCTGTCGACGTCTGCCCTGCCGGTGCGTCGCTCCGCCCAGCCGCACTTACTCACATGCAGGCTTGAACTTACACGCACCACACGAGTGCGCAGGCAGAAACCGTCGACGACATCAACCCAGCCGCTCGCGGCCTCGCCTTACCGCCTGCCTACTCCCGCTCGCAGGTACAGCCGCTACCATGGAGGAGGCCGCGAGACGCGTCCGCTGCTGCATCATGTTCTTCCTGCTCGCCCTCGCGGGCGCCCACGCCGCAGCAAAGGGGCAATTTCCCGAGTGGCGCTTTCAGGGACGTGATGTGGTGGTGAAGATCCCAAGAGATTCGGTGCGCCCTTCAACTCAGCTCAAGTAGACTCAGACACTCCGTGTGATCTCACATACACCATTCGTGTGCTGAACAGTTCCACGAGCCTCAATCGGCCGCGTGCGAAGCCGCTGCCGCTGCTGCCGCCGCTAAGAACTCCTCTCCCGCACCGGTCCTCATCATCGACGCGCCATCGTGGTTTTGCACGTCCGATTCTGTCGGCAATCATTTGCCACTATACTTCACCCTTCGAGCCTTGGCCTTGCTGCATGGCATCGGATTCCAGATGCAGCCGACGTGTGGCCCTATCATCCGGGACACGCCCAAATACATCACCGGTTGGTTGCCTCAAAGTGCTTCTCCGAACTGGCCGCCCGAGGTCCCTCGTGACCCCGGCACGATCATGCGGGAAATAGAAGGAACCTGCAAATGTCGCACGATCATCACGCATGCTTGCACTTACGGTTGGCCGTTATTTGCCGCCGTTTGGGGTCGCGAGATCCGAGCCGCAGCCGAGCGCTATTCGGTTGCACGCAACAAGGGGGTGTTGGCAAGCAACGGCTCAAAGACGCAGAAGTACACGTATGACCTCGATGATGCCGTCATCCACTTTCGCTGTGGGGACATTATGGAAATGGATGCGTCACGGGGCCCGCTCAATTCTGGGTTTGTGCCATTGAGTGTGCTTCTTCGCTACCTGCGCCCACTTGCCCCGCGTTCGGTGGGCATTGTCACAACACCGCTCGTTGAGAAGTGCAGCAGCAAACTCGAGACCCGAGCCATGGACTGCAAGCACGGCAAGCAGTGCCACGACATCCTTGAAGTGCTCCTCCCCGCACTCCAAAGCGGGCTGACCGGCCCGAGGAAGATGCACGGCCCAAGGGTCAGAATCCATGACAAGGACACGACGGTGGGGGCGATGTCGCGCATCGCCCTCGCTCAACTCTCCATCTGCCCACCTAGCACCTTTTGTGTATGGCCGGCTCTTGGGGCAGTGGAGGGGGTGCTCACTGGCGTTGGGGGTGGGCACAGTATTGCACTTGAGCCAGGCAAGCGGGCCGCCGCTGCACTTGGAGAAGGGCATCTGCATGTGCACGCACTCCACGGTTCAAACGCCAGTATATTGTCAATCAAGCGCATCAAAGAGGCACAAATGTCGCCACAGCAAATTGGACAATTCCTGGTTGAGCACTAGTAGTATGTTGTTGACACGGTGGCGGTGGCTCTACCCGGCTCCGGGGAGCATCGTGAGGTCAGCTTGCGCCTCGTTCTAACAGGCATGGGAGCCGTGCCTTGCGATGCGGGACCGCTCCGGCGGTGGTGGCAGCTCCTCCGCCGCCGCATCGCGGTGGCGCGCCTCGTGCGGCGGCGCCCCGCCGAGCCGCAGCAAATAGTGCCACTTTCGTAGAATAGTGCTTGCGTGTTGGCTGTTGCGTCGTTAAGTGGCGAGACCTCGGCACCTCGCGCGAGCGTGCGCGCGCCGCAGGAGAGCGGTGGCCGGTGGGGGCCGGATACTCTTACATGCTATCGGATAGGCCGATGACTTTTAAAGGACTTGTCCTTTACAAAAGGACACCTTGATCTCGCGTTTTCGCTCCCATTGAGCTCTCTGCAAGCCTCTCCTGGGCATTGAGGTATGCTACCATGTCCACCTGACAGCCTCCAGGCGGCGGGGTCACGACCCAGCCCAAGCAACACATTCAAAACCGACCCGGAGACGTACCCGCAACCGCTTGTCCTTTACGCCCGCTAGTCCTCATCACTGTCTACAATCACCTGCCGCTTGCGTAGGGGGGGGGGCTGCAGCCTGGGAGGAGGGCGCTGCAGGCCGCTTGGCACCTTTGGACACGCGCCCAAGCACTCCCTTCACCGTCTTCTTCACTATGAGCCCGCCCGGTTTTGAGCGTGCGTCCCAGTCGCTGCAGCGGCTCTGTCAGCGGACCAATCTTGCGGTAGCGGCGATCAACTGCTGCTGCTTGGCGTTGCGCCTTCGGGGAAGGATGTGGTCCTCCTCTGTCAGCTGGCTGTTGGTGGTGAAGATGCGTGGCATGTACTGCGGGAGGGTGCCATTGTTGTAGCGAGCGGCATTTGATGCGCTCGCTTGGCGGTGAGCTGGCTCAGCACGTCTTCATTCGAGAGCTCGCCGCGGCCGAGTGCGGCGTACGTCAGGTGGTAGTTGCGGGCGGGTTGATGACGCTCACGTCGGCCGGGGCACCACCCACTAGCTGCATGATCACCGGCTGGTCACTGATCACCGATCACCGGCCTTTGGAGAGTTTTCTAGGAGTTACTTATTCAGACGGTGATCGGTGATCAAGTTTCGGCGGCACGTAACGTCCAAAACAAGGCCACGACTGTCGTCCCCCGGCACCACCGGGCACGGGGAAGTCGCGAAGGGCAAGTGGAGTGCGGGAGGTACGACTGGGCCGGCGAGCGGGGGCGCGCGTGGCGCCCTTCATGAACCTGTCCTTTTAGTTAGGACAAAAATCTTTTTAAAAGGACACATGGGGCTATCCGCTATGTAAACTCTTCGTGTTTCTAGGGTACCGAGGCTCACACGCCCCCCTTGGCGCCTGTTGTTTCCAATCCATGACAAGGACACGACGGTGGGGGCGATGTCGCGCATCGCCCTCGCTCAACTCTCCATCTGCCCACCTAGCACCTTTTGTGTATGGCCGGCTCTTGGGGCAGTGGAGGGGGTGCTCACTGGCGTTGGGGGTGGGCACAGTATTGCACTTGAGCCAGGCAAGCGGGCCGCCGCTGCACTTGGAGAAGGGCATCTGCATGTGCACGCACTCCACGGTTCAAACGCCAGTATATTGTCAATCAAGCGCATCAAAGAGGCACAAATGTCGCCACAGCAAATTGGCCAATTCCTGGTTGAGCACTAGTAGTATGTTGTTGACACGGTGGCGGTGGCTCTACCCGGCTCCGGGGAGCATCGTGAGGTCAGCTTGCGCCTCGTTCTAACAGGCATGGGAGCCGTGCCTTGCGATGCGGGACCGCTCCGGCGGTGGTGGCAGCTCCTCCGCCGCCGCATCGCGGTGGCGCGCCTCGTGCGGCGGCGCCCCGCCGAGCCGCAGCAAATAGTGCCACTTTCGTAGAATAGTGCTTGCGTGTTGGCTGTTGCGTCGTTAAGTGGCGAGACCTCGGCACCTCGCGCGAGCGTGCGCGCGCCGCAGGAGAGCGGTGGCCGGTGGGGGCCGGATACTCTTACATGCTATCGGATAGGCCGATGACTTTTAAAGGACTTGTCCTTTACAAAAGGACACCTTGATCTCGCGTTTTCGCTCCCATTGAGCTCTCTGCAAGCCTCTCCTGGGCATTGAGGTATGCTACCATGTCCACCTGACAGCCTCCAGGCGGCGGGGTCACGACCCAGCCCAAGCAACACATTCAAAACCGACCCGGAGACGTACCCGCAACCGCTTGTCCTTTACGCCCGCTAGTCCTCATCACTGTCTACAATCACCTGCCGCTTGCGTAGGGGGGGGGGCTGCAGCCTGGGAGGAGGGCGCTGCAGGCCGCTTGGCACCTTTGGACACGCGCCCAAGCACTCCCTTCACCGTCTTCTTCACTATGAGCCCGCCCGGTTTTGAGCGTGCGTCCCAGTCGCTGCAGCGGCTCTGTCAGCGGACCAATCTTGCGGTAGCGGCGATCAACTGCTGCTGCTTGGCGTTGCGCCTTCGGGGAAGGATGTGGTCCTCCTCTGTCAGCTGGCTGTTGGTGGTGAAGATGCGTGGCATGTACTGCGGGAGGGTGCCATTGTTGTAGCGAGCGGCATTTGATGCGCTCGCTTGGCGGTGAGCTGGCTCAGCACGTCTTCATTCGAGAGCTCGCCGCGGCCGAGTGCGGCGTACGTCAGGTGGTAGTTGCGGGCGGGTTGATGACGCTCACGTCGGCCGGGGCACCACCCACTAGCTGCATGATCACCGGCTGGTCACTGATCACCGATCACCGGCCTTTGGAGAGTTTTCTAGGAGTTACTTATTCAGACGGTGATCGGTGATCAAGTTTCGGCGGCACGTAACGTCCAAAACAAGGCCACGACTGTCGTCCCCCGGCACCACCGGGCACGGGGAAGTCGCGAAGGGCAAGTGGAGTGCGGGAGGTACGACTGGGCCGGCGAGCGGGGGCGCGCGTGGCGCCCTTCATGAACCTGTCCTTTTAGTTAGGACAAAAATCTTTTTAAAAGGACACATGGGGCTATCCGCTATGTAAACTCTTCGTGTTTCTAGGGTACCGAGGCTCACACGCCCCCCTTGGCGCCTGTTGTTTCCTGCCAAAACCAGCGAGATCTCGGCCCGCCGTTCTCCGCTCGCGCCGGCCGCCCCCCTCCCGGGCCATAGCCACTGCCGGCAACCCCCCCCCCCCTCCCCCACCTGTCCCCATGTCCTAGCCTCGCCACCACGCGCGCCCCGCTACAGGCGTGTGCCGCACGGACGACCAGAACAAGGGCAACTTTGACGAGCTTTGGGGTATCGAGCTCGGGCTATTGGGGTGCCACGACATGTGTCGCTTCAGCCGGGGTTGCACCGGGGCCCCCCCCCCCCTGCCCCCCCCCCCACACACACACCCGCCCCCCCACCTCAGCTCCTTCCTCTTGGTCGCAGCACACCGCGCTTTGGCCCGCGCACAGGGTTCGAGTACGCCGTCGAAGGCAAGGCGTCCCGCTGCAAGCTCTTCAAGGGCCCCATCCTCTCGACGCTGCCCGTCGGCGGCGCGCGCTGCTACAAGAAGGCGTCCAAGACGGAGCTCGGGCCGCACAAAAAGCGGCTCTAGGAGGGGGGGCGTCGGACGGCGTCCCAATCCTAGGGGGCGCCCTGCGGTGCTTTCGAGGAGGCCGATCGATGCGCGGCCCCGTTACCCTCGAGGCCGATCGGTAGGCCGACGCGGACCGTAGCGCTAAGTGGTGGTATGAAGCCCCATGTACGACACCGCCGCACGCCGGCGACACAGCTCCAGCTGTCGAACTGACCCGCAGCTCCTCTCAGAGCGGGAACTGTGACAAAAGTTGACTGAGGCGGTTGTCAGGAATCATCTTACGGATCACATGGTGGCTCTCTCATGACGGGAGACCGCCCGGGACCAGCGACCACTCCTCTCTCCTGGGTGGCACTGCCACCGGTGTCGCTCGACGTCCTGTCGACAGCGTGCCGACAGCGACACAGACCATGTGGGACGCGTCGAGTATCGACCTCTACTGCTTACCCAGCCTTCGAGTGTATCCTTGGACCTTGCTGTGGTCCCACACCCAGACCCACTCGGCCACTGGTGTCCATCTCAGAGACCGCAGGAGGTCATGAGGGTCGATGGGAGTGCCAACCCCACGATGCCTAAAGACCCAGCCCAGTAATCAGTCTGTATGCTCTGTCCAGTGAGCAGTGTCCTCTCCCGCCGGACCCGCCGCGCTCCCCCCCAACGGCGGCGTCCTAATCTAAAATCCGAGGATCGGGGGGCGATCGCACCTTCGGCTTCGCACCACCACTTGTGTTTATTTTTTCTCAGCATCTCAGCAACATGCTTTTTTTCTGAGACCAACTTCCAATCGCCCTTCCCCGCGCTCCGCGCCCTCAATACAGCCAGGCCCAGGGCGCAGCGACTACGCCCTCACCCTCACGCGTCCTCCACGGGCCCGTCGCCGATGGTGAGCCCCGTCTCTCGCTCGTAGTCGGCGTGGCTCGCGCTCGGCACCGTCCACTCGCCCTGCACCAGCCACGCGCACCGCTGCACCCGCTGCTGGATCGGCTTCATGTTGTCGGCCGGGAAGTGCGAGAAGCGCCCCTTTGCGACCGGGCAGCGGTACAGCCACGCGATGAGCCGCGCGAGCGCGCGGCGCACCCGCGGGCTGTGCCGGAACCCCCACGAGGTCTGCAGCGTGTCGAGGAAGAGGCGCGGCGAGTTGGAGGGCCGGCGCCTGCGGGGCGGAGTCGGGAGCGGCCGTGTGTGTGTGTGTGTGTGTGTGTGTGTGTGTGTGTGTGCGTGCGTGTGCGTGTGTGCGTGTGTGCGTGTGTGTGTATGTGTGTGTGTGTGTGTGTGTGTGTGTGTGTGTGTGCGTGCGTGTGTGTGCGTGTGTGCGTGCGTGCGTGCGTGCGTGCGTGCGTGCGTGTGTGTGTGTGTGTGTGTGTGTGTGTCTGTGTGTGTCCATGTCTGTGTGTGTATGGGGGAT